GGCAGCATCAGTATGAATGGTGAAGAGATTGAGATAGTTAACAGTTTTAGTTTGCTTGGTTCCATAGTCAACACTCTTGGTAGCAGCAGCCAGGAAATCAAGGATGAATTGCATTGGGAAAGTCAGCTGTGAGGGGCCTCTCAAGAGTATTGAAGAACAATGATGTCAGGCTGGAGACTAAGGTGTGCCTGATCCAGGCTATGGTCTTTGCAATTACTTGCTATGCATTGGAGAGTTGGACAGTGAATAAGGATGATAGAAGGAGAATTGATGCCTTTGAGCTGTGGTGCTGGATAAGAGTGTTGAATATACCATGGACTGCTAGAAGAACAAACAGGTCTGTCCTGGAGAGGGTGAAGCCAAGTTTCTCCTTGGAGGCAAGGATTTTGAAACTCTGTCTCATATACTTTGGACATGAGGCTAGGAGTGAGTAGTCCTTGGAGAAGGACATCATGCTTGAAAAGGTGGAGGCAGAGCACAGAAGAGGAAGACCCAGGCTGAGATGGATTGACACAGTAACTGGAGTAATGGGGATAGGTGTGTCAGAGATTGTGAGACTGGTTTAGGATAGGGCAGGGTTCAGAGCTATTGTGCATAGAGTCACTATGAGTCACAGGTGACTTGACAACACATAACAACAACCCTGGGTGGGGGGGGTCATGTCAGGTGCAGCTCTGAGTCACATGCCTTGGAAGTCTGGGTGTCCGGGGGCAGCACTAATCCTGGCTGAGTAAGGCAGAGTGCTCAGAGGGAAGCTGATGGTGGACTAACAGGCGGTCTGGCTACCCATGTGACACGCCCCCTCCACTCCCTGTCCCACAGAGCCATGAACACCAGCCAGGTGGAGGCGCTGGGCATCCAGATGCTGCCAGGCTACCAGGACCCCTACCATGGGCGGCCCCTCACCAAAGGCGAGCTGGGCTGCTTCCTCAGCCACTACTCTATTTGGAAGGAGGTGCGTGCTGGTGGGGGCAGGACTTAAGGGGTTCAGGAGGGGCCAGAAGGTCAGGGAGGGAGCTGCTATAGCCCACTCTGACTTTCAACAACAAAAACAGATGTGAACTCTTGTTAGCCCCTGTTTCACCTCAGTGACCTCCAGCATCTCTGGTGACCCTCCATTGTACAGCTGTGAAAACTGAGGCTGAGGGCAAAAGAGGAGTAGGATGAGCTCTAAAAGCAAGGAAGAGACTTCTTAGCCTGAGCCTTAGTTCATCTAGATGAAAGAGTCATAAGCTCAGGAGGCAGTCCTGAGGGTTGTCAGGCTTATCCATTCATTCGGAGGATGTCTGTAAAGCAGGTATAGTGCACTCTGAGCTGATGGTGGGGATGTGCAGCCACCATGACAAACCTGTTTTGCATTGGGGTGGCAGACTGATTATATAATCCACTAAAAGATAAATAATAGAAAAATTGTAAGTAGGTGTATATGCATAGAAAAGGACTATGAATTGTCCTCAGTGGGGCAGCTTTGGGCCTCCAGGGTAGGTGACTTTTGAATAGAGATATGAAAGAGAAAGCTGGCTTTCCTTGATTCTTTCTGGGGGAAGGTACTGCATAGCCAAAGATGTTAAGCTGGGAGCTACCTGGGCAGGTGGGAAGAGAGCAAGGAAGAAGGGAGGTGTTGGCTGGGAGGTCTCTGCAGCAGCAGAGAAGATTGTGTGTTTGTTCCTCTCCTGAGCTGCTGCCTGCAAGGCCAGCCTCAGCCTTGATCTCCCCTGTGACCTGAGTGTACCATCCCCTTCAGGTGGTGGACAGAGGACTGCAGAAATCGCTGGTGTTTGAGGACGATCTGCGTTTCGAGATCTTTTTCAAGAGACGCCTGATGAACCTCATGCGGGATGTGGAACAGGAAGGCCTGGACTGGGACCTCATGTGAGTGGAGGACCTGAGGAGTGGGGATTGGCTGGGGTGGAGTGGAGCTGGGGTGTGGCCGTGGCCCTTGAGGGGCTGGTAGGGGCCAGATTAGAGTAATAGGATATGGGTGGGACATGGTTGACTCCCCGAAAGACTGGACTGGGGCCTTTGGTCCTTCGGTCTGCATACTAGGAGGGCTTGAACGCGTGGCCTATGACCTGTGAGTGGGGCCAAGTCTTGAGAGTTAAGTCTAGAGGCCCAGTGATCTGCCCTGAAGATCTGACTTGGGCATGTGGGGGTTGGAGTTTGAAAAAAAAGCCAAACAAAACCTTGCAGGTATAGCAAGGGTTCTGGGGATGGCTTCGCACATGAGTGGAGGTGGCCAGGCCATGTGGTTAGAACTGTGTGAGCAAAACTGAAGAGCTGGCGTTAGGATTAGAGTCTTGAGAGGAGCCTGAGTGGGCGTGGTCAGGCCATTGGAGCTTCCCAGAAGCCTGTGATTGTTATGGCTAAAGATCTTAGGGGTGTAACCACGGTCTGTGGGGCAGGCTCTGGGCCCCGTGTAGGGTAGTCAGGACATGAGAATATAGGTACGAAGCCTTTGGCCCAAGGTGGCCTGCATATTTATTGAAGAATCCTTTGTTGAAGGATTGACCAATTCATTCTCCCTCCTCTGCTGTGTGTGTGTGCAGGGCTCTGATCTATGTTTTGGCAACATGGCCTTAGACTTTAGCCACATAAAAACGTAACAGTAATCTCATTCTTCCCCTTTTCTGACCAATCACCATGTGGCCTGCTCCATACCTCACATCCTGACAAACCCTGAACAGCTTTCACTCTCAGCCATATTGGTACAGCCTCAGCAAACACCCAAAAGACCTTCTCTCCTCAGCTCCGAATCCTTCCTTGGCTCCCTGTTACCCTGGACCAAAGCTCATGCTCATGGAGTTTGGCCCCACAGCTTCCTTGCCCTCTACCTTCCTGTCACCTCACACCCACCCGGCCTGTCCCTACCCCAGCCCTCGACAGTGCTCTCCTGTGGGTACGGGAGAAGAGTCATGGGCCTGCTGGGTGACACCCTGTCTGTGCTCCAGCTACGTGGGCCGGAAGCGGATGCAGGTGGAGCACCCCGAGAAGGCTGTGCCCCATGTGAGGAACCTGGTGGAGGCCGACTACTCGTACTGGACACTGGCCTATGTGCTGTCTTTGCAAGGTGCCCGCAAGCTGCTGGCTGCCAAACCACTCTCCAAGATGCTGCCCGTGGACGAGTTTCTCCCTGTTATGTTTGACAAGCACCCAGTGTAAGTGGGTGGGCGCAAGGCAGTGGCGTGGAGAGTTGTGGGGTACAGGCTCATAGGCCTCAGAGAATGTCCTCTCTTCATCTGGCCCTGCTCCCTCCATTTGTCTCCTCATGTGTACCTGCTTCCTCCTTCTGCCCCGCACCTGGCCCTCCCTCCCTCCTCCATCTGCCCGTTACTTGTCCCTCCCTTTTTCCTCCACCTGTCCCTCAACTGTCCCACCCTGCTCCCCCTGTCTGCCCCTCACCTGTCCCCTCCCTGCCCCCTCCAACTATCCCTCACCTGTCCCTCAACTGCCCTTCCCTGTTCCCTCTTTTGGCCCCTCACCTGTTTCCCTCCCTGGCCCCTTTACCTGTCCCTCACCTGTTCCCCTCCCTGTCCCCCCATCTGCTCCTCATCCCTCCGTGTCCCCCCATCTGCCTCTTATCTCTCCTTCCCTGCCCCCTCCATCTGCCCCTCATTCCTTCCTGTCCCCCCATCTGACCCTCACTTGTCCCTCCCTGCCCCCCACCGTCCCCTCATCTGTCTCTCCTTTCTCCCTCCATCTGCCCCTCACTTGTCCGTTCCTTCTCCCTCCATCTGTCCCTTACTTGTCCCTGCTCCCTCTGTCTGTCCCTCTTCTGTTCTCTCCCTCTTCCCTCCACTGACCCCTCTAATGTCCTCCCCCTTCCTGTGCCCACTCGTGCTTCTCTTTGCCCCTCCCCACTGCCCACAGGTCCGAGTACAAGGCCCACTTCTCCCCCCGCAACCTCCGTGCCTTCTCGGTGGAGCCGCTGCTCGTCTACCCCACACACTACACGGGGGACGACGGCTACGTGAGCGACACGGAGACCTCCGTCGTGTGGAACAACGAGCATGTCAAGACCGACTGGGACCGCGCCAAGTCCCAGAAGATGCGAGAGCAGCAGGCCCTGAGCCGCGAGGCCAAGAACTCGGACGTGCTGCAGTCCCCACTGGACAGCACGGCTCGAGATGAGCTCTGAGGGACTAAGTGCAAAAATCACACAATCGCAAAAACAGCAGCCGTCCCCGGGGGCAGCTCAGGCTTCACGGGGCCCCCACAGACAGACCGAGGCGGCTCTGCTCCACACAGGGTGTGTCTGCCAGCGTGTCATGCGTGCAGGCCGCATTGATGCATTAATGGAGCACCTTCCTAATGCCATGCACAGGGCTGGGCACTGGGACCACTGGGCAGGATCTAGACCTCCACACTCACCCATGTGTTCACACGCCTGGCATTTAAATGCTGTGTTCCAGTATCTGGGCTGTGGCAATGAACGAGGTATAATTATCTCCTCAGTCAGTTACTGATTGCGTTTTCAACATGTGTTCATTTCCCTCCAAGCAAGAATCAGCCCTGGTGGAGCAACACTTGAGTACTTGGCTCCCAACCAAGGGACTGAGTGTTCAAACCCACCAGCAGTCCTGTGGGAGAAAAGACCTGACCTGCTCCTCTTGTAAGGAGTGCAGTCTAGAACTCCCCCACCCCCACCCCAGGTCAGTTCTCTGTCCATGGGGCAGTGTGAGTTGGAATCCACTCAGCGGCCACTAAGACCAGCAGCCAGGAGTCAGACACAAGTGAGCACGTGAGAATTTTGAACTCCTTCAGGTATTTATTGTGTGTCTGCTATGTGTTGGGCTCCGCCCCAGATGCTAGGAATATTGAGCTAAACAGGACACAGTCATTTCTGCACACATTTCACCAGCACTTACTCTCTGCCACACAGAGTTAAGTTTTGAATTGATTCCGTGACGTCTGTTGAGTATGCTGTGTGCTGAGCTGTGCTCGGGGCCAGGGCTGGTAGTCCACAAGGTGCTTTACGTTCTCCTGTCAATTTCTTGCCCACGTGTCTGAGGAACACCTACTATGTGCCAGGCATGAGAGATGCAGAAGTCTGTATGGCATTTGTTTACTTCCATTTTTTTAATCGCCTGCCAGGTGCGGGGACCCAGATGAACAAGGCGAGTCCCTTCATTTCTTCATGGAGCCACCCATTTCTTGAGCACCTCCTGTGTGCCAGGCCTCGTGGATTCCCAGTTGTATGAGAGACCGAGTTTGACTGTTCATTGTTTGCTGTCCGATCACCCAAGTTGTGTTCAGACAACACCCTACACCTCACAGGAGGAGGTTCTTTCTCCCGCCTACAGCACAGTGGCCCCCTGGATGGGGTGCAGCATGGGTGGGGCTGGGTCTCCCTCCTCCTCCCACCCCAGCCCCATCTGTGTGGCATCCCTGTCATTGTGTCTCAGGTGTGGTCTCTGCCTGCTTGATGAGGTTTTTCATTCAAGCCTTTGGTGGGGATCATGTGTTTGGGGGCCCTCTGTTGGGGGGGGAGGGAGGCCCTGGAGCAAAATGCTTCCAGCTCTGGTGGGACTGCATGGCTTCAGCCCAGATTGAATGTCAGAGCCAGACAGTCGTGTGTCACTCTTCTGAGGGTAACAGTACTCGCTGGGTTGGCTCCTGAGTAACTTGCTTATTTTTTTAATAAATTTTTCTAGTTGGTTTCCACTCAAGCCTGTGGTCCCTTCTTTTAGGCTATTGCTCTGCTCGCCGCCACCTCCCCATTCCTGCTGCCAGTTGAGAGTCAGATGGAGTAAGAGTGGAGAGAGAACTTCATATCCGAACCGCCCCGTAAAGTGCCCTGGGGATAGCTCAGGGGCAGACAGGCCTTGTTTTCTCGTGGGGGGCCCACTGCACGGCTATCTCAGATGACTCGGAATAGGGAGAGGGACTGTCCTGGTTTGGAGTTTCCAGGAAACAGACCCTGAGATGTGGCTTTGAGGAAATGTAGGCCATCCTGGAGGAATCCCTGGTAGGAGATAAGGAACAGAGGTAGTGTGGGGTGGCATTCATAAGCGGATGGATCCGGAGAAGTGGGGGCTCAGAGCCCCAGGGGAGCTCAGGAAGACAGTGTAGAGAACACACCTTGATATGATCTCATGCATGAGGGCACAGGGGTTTTCATACCTACCCTCATGTTGGATTCCCCAGGAAAGACCCAAGACGATTTGGAAGCACGTAGGGTATTTGGGAATTGACCCCAAAAAGCCCCTGAGGGTAGAGAATTGAGACAGGGAGGGAAGGAGCCCCGTAAAGGGGCACCAAAGCAAGTGGTACTCTTGATGTCTTGGGGTTTAATCCTGGTGGGGAGCTCAGGAAGACAGCATACACCTCAGTGTGGCCGCACCCCAGGATAGGGGAAAACAAATCAACCCCAATGAGTCCTGACCTATGGCCGCTCTGTGTGTTACAGCATAGACCTGAGAGACACAGGCTTTTCTAGGCTGAGATCTTGACAGATACATCACCAGGCCTTTCTTCTGCATCCCTGCTGGATAAATTTAAACTACCACTTCTCAGCTAGTTGCCAAGAGCAAACTGTTTGCACCATTCAGGGACTATACATGTGCTCAAGGGTTTTTATTTTTAGAGTATGTTCTGAATTTAATTGTTGGCAAGGATTTTTGAGACTCACACACTTTGGTCATATAGCCAGAAGGGGCCAGTCTTTAGAGAAGGACATCATGCTTGGAAGGGTCAGGGGACAGCACAGGAGAGGAAGACCCCAGAGAAGATGGGTTGACACAATAACTAGGGTAATGAGGGTAGGTGTGTCAGAGACAGCGAGACTGGCCCAGCATAGTGCAGGGTTCACATCTATTGTGCAGAGTTGCTGTGAGTTGCAAGCGATTTGATGCCACTTAACAACAATAGTTTAATTGTATCCTCCCAAAGTATATGCTGCAGCCAGAACTTCCAGTACCCGTAAATGTGACTTTATTTAGAAATAGGGTATTTTTATATGTAGTCAAGTTAAAATGATTAACCCAATGACTGCTGTCCTCTCAAGAAGAGGCACATTTGGACACAGACACAGAGGCACGCGGAGAGGTCATGTGATGACAGAGGTAGAGACTGGAGTGGTGCAGCCGCACACCAACGACTGGCTGGTAGGATATTTTCACCAAAAATGATAAGAGTTTCGTCCTGTAGGGTTTCCAAGACTGTAAGTCTTTATGGAAACAGACGCCCATATTCTTCGCTTGTGGTATTTCCAAGCAGAAAAAACCGAACTCTATTCATAGATAGTGAGGTTAGAATTTGAACACATTTTAGGTGGAAACAATTCCATCCATAACAACCATCTTTCACTCACCTATTCCTGTTTGAAGGACATCACAACCTGGCAGTGAATGTCATTATACAATATGTCCTTCATCATTGGAGTTTTTTTAAGTTCATTTGAGTAAACAGATACAGGTGGGATTTAAGTTGAGACTGCCATGTTTGGTCTTTCTTGTTAAATCCTAACTAGTCATCATTTAGTCACCGGTGTGGATTGCTCAGATGTGTTTCCCAGTACCCTCTGCAGGTCATTTAACTACTTTCTAGTGATTTACAGTTCTGTATGATGACACCCTTGGTGCCAGCAGTCAGGAAATAAGGAGACACATTGCACTGGGAAAGTTTGCAGTTTGGGACCTCTCCAAATTATTGAGGAGTAATGATGTCAGTTTGAGGACTAAGGTGCGTCTGATTCAGGCCACAGTCTTTCTGATCACTTGCTATGCATCTGAGAGTTGGAAAATCAATAAGGATGACTGAAAAAGAATTGACGCCTTTGAGCTGTGGTGTGGAGAAGAGCACTGAACATCCATGGCATGGATGGCCAAGAGAACAAATGAGATATGTCTTGAGAGAGTGCAGCTGGAGTGCTCTTTGGAGGCAAGAATGATGAGGCTTTGCTTTTCATACTTTGGACATGGTGTTAGGAGAGGCTATTCTTTGGAGAAGGACGTGAAGCTGGGAAGGGTGGAGGGTCGGCGAGGGAGAGGAAGACCCTCAACCATGTGGATCGGTACGGTGACTGGGCATTGGGTTCTTGTGTGTCAGGAAGTGTAAGGATCTCACAAGATAGAGCAGGCAGGATTCATATCTTTTCTTCATAGGGTCGCTATGAGTCATATTTGACTTGGTGCCACTAACAACAAAAACATAAAAACACAAACCTGATTGCCAAAACTGAGGAGGACCTGAGGTGTTTGCTGCAGACTGTAGTCTTCAATATGGATTGAAGTTTAACATCAAGAAAACAAAGATTCTCACCACTGGGCCAACTGGCAGCACCATTATAGATGGAGAAGAGACAGGTTT